TTTCTCAGGTATTGGTCACAGCAACGAGAAAATAGACTAAGAAAACAAACTTTGAAACAATTTTCCAGATATTTCTCTAGATGTAGAGCTGCCTAATTACAGAGGAAGTGAGCCCTGTGGGTGGCAGTTCTAAAACAGCCTTAATCTTTTTGACACTCCTAGTGAGATGTGGGGGTCTTTGTCTTCTTCCCTTCAGTTTGGGTGTGGTGGTGGCTGCACTGCCCAATAGAGTATGGCAGGAGTGAGGTCATGTGACTTCTGCAGCTGGATCATGAAAGGCATGCTGCTTTCTTATTGCTGCTAGAACATCCTCTCTGGAAGTGCTGAGTCTCCATGCTGTGAGGAAGCCCAAAGCTCACATGAGGTCATGCACAGGTGCTCAGTCTATAGTCCCAGCTGAACTTGGCCTTCGAGTCATCCAAGGGAGATGCCAGATGCATAAGGTTTCCAGATGATTCCTGACTCCAGTGTAGAACCCAAGATACTGTCAGCTTTCAAGTCCTCCTATCTGAGACTCCAGACATCATGGAGTGGAGATAGATTAGTCAGGGTTTTCCAGGGAAGCAGAACCAATAGGCGATCTGTGTGTGCGTGCGTGCGTGTGTGTGTGTAATTGTAAGAGAGGAGTTATTGGATTGGCTTACATAATCAGAAGCTCAACAGTCCCACTGGCTGTCTGTAGGCTTGAGAGCCAGGGAAGCCAGGAGTTTCTCAGTAAAGAGGCCAAAGCCTTCACACAAGAGACCAATGTTTTACAGCTCCAGTCGGAGGCTAAAGGCCTGGATACTGCTTGGATTGCTGCTGGTGCATGTCCACATTAAACAAATGAAGAATCTGGAGTCACATACCACCAGTGACAGCAGCAGCAAAAGCCTTCTTCTGGGGAAGAGTCAGACATGCACACACGAGCTTCCCCCTCTGCTTTTCTAGTCCATCCAGACCATCTGCCCTCCACATTCAGGGTGGCTCTTCCCCACTCAGTTCCCTGGGAAGATCCTCACAGACGTACCCAGAAGTGCGCTTTTACCAGTTTTCTAGGTGCACTCAATGTAATCAAATTGACGATCAAAATAACCATCACAAGAGGCAAGCTATCTCCAGTGTTTCCTGTCTGAATCTCTATCCCACTGAATTTATAAGCATAATGAAATAGCTGTTATTTTATGCCAGCGATTTGGTGTGTTTTGGTGTGGAATTAACTCTCAGATGGAGATTGAGGCAGTGCTATGACTTTTGCAAACCTCTTGGAGTACCTAGCAAATAAGCATGCACATTTGGTAAGTGTGCTTTTAACTTCCTGGCCCAATCTTGGATCAGACATCTACACTTGATGTGTTTTCCTTTGCTATCAGATCTAGTTCCAGGTTATAGGAGCTGGACGGGGAAGTCATAGAAATTCAAAAGAGGAGGTCCATTACCATATGTATGGCAACAAATTACAAACATTTTCCCTTAATTGGGAGAGGCAGAGCAAATTATGAGGAGAGGCTGATAAGGTAATTATATCTGTACTTTGAGAAATAGCTTATAGCTGGCCAAGAGTTTAGGATTGGTCCTAGAGGATACTATGGCTGAGAAAAATGTTTAATCATGCCTTTTGGTTAAACAAAGTCTACTGCCAGGACAAGTTAGGGGTAAATATGTAATTGATCTGATTTGCATAAGCTTAAATTTAGTTAAAATGCAGTATTTGCCAAAATTGGCATTTTGATTTAATAAATATTTATTTCCTTTTGGAAAGCAGAAACTGCTTTGATGAGAAGGTTACTTGCTGTCTTGCTATGTATTAGAAACAAGCTCAAGCAAGATAGCATGTAACCTTCTCATCAAAGCATTTCCTGCCCAGTTGCTGATGGCTCACACCTGTCATTTTAGCTACTCAGTAGGCAGAGATCTGGAGGATAGCAGTTCAAAGCCAGCCCTCACAAACAGTTCGAGAGACTTTTGAAAATACACAAGAAAGAGCTGGCAGAGTGGCTCAAGTGGTAGAGCACATGCCTGGCAAGTGTGAGGTCCTAAGTTCAAACCCCAGTACCACCAAAAAGAAAGCATTTTTTTGCTTTCCCTACAGAGCTGATGAGTCAGTGTCAGGGATGATCCCTTGACTGGCTGGGTGGGCCAAGCCATCCAGATGTACCTGGGGCTTCTTGGGGCATCTGAGTTTGCAGAGGGCCAGTCAGGCTCAGGAGGAATCTTGAGTCACTTGGCTGAGGGCTCCAGTGCTTGGGTCATGGGGAGGTTGGCTAGGAATGCCTGCTGTTCTCAGTTCTCCCACCTGAGGGCTGGAAAGGAGGGACAGTGCCCCTCCCAAGTGCCCACAGTGCTCAGGAAGGACTCATTTGACTGCACAGAGCTGGTCTTGCAAGCCTGGGGATGCTGCACGTTTGAAAATACTGGGTAGGGCTAGGGGTGTGGCTTAAGTGGTAAAACACCTGCCTAGCAAGGGCAAGGTCCTAAGTTAAACCCCCTGTAACACACACACACACACACACACACACAGAGAGCGAGAGAACATGAGAATGCAATCATTGAAAGAGTTCACAAAGGCCATACTATGTTTGACTAAGTATAGGTAGCTCTAGGGTCAGACCAGACTTCCAGTTTTTATTAAAAAACAAAAAAAACACTCCAAAACCCAGAAGAAAACTGTCTGAGGATGTCCACACCTCTGTGTGATGGCCCCCCTCAGGCTACATTGCATTGTCCCTCTGATCTGTCTTGCCATGGGACTGTGGATGTCTTAAGGATAGGGATTTTGTTTTTGCATCCCTGGTCAGGCACATTCTGGGGCTTGTGTGATGCTCACAGAAAGGATGAGTGATGAAAAGAACACAGAAAAGTAGAAGGTGGGGACTATGAGGGGAGGAGCTGGAAAATGGTGGCCTATGAGGGCCAGTAGTGACAAGGCCTGTAAGAGAGGAATTGGGATCTCAGGGCCTTTGGGGCTGTTTTCTCATGGGTGAGGCTTGGGTCCTCTTGCTGTCTCCATAGGGTTGAGCGGTTTTTGGGAACATCATTATTTGGGGGAGGGGAGAGGAAGGAGGATGAGATTGCATTGGAGATTTGTGTTTCCCAGGCTCTCAGCCATCCACCAAGTACCACTGAGCACTCACCGGATGCACATCACAATCCGGCAACTAGGAAAATCAGAGGAGAAAAGTAAGGTGGCAGCTGCTTGCCATCTTCAAACTACTCTCAGTGTGGTGGGGGTGGCAGCAGTCATACACACACACACACACACACACACACACACACACACACACTGTAAATAAAGGAGGCATTTGCCCTTTGGTTTCTAACTCAGCTGTCTTCTGAGCTCCCTTAAGCATGTTTATCTAAGCCAATCACAGCTTTCCTTTCTGTCTTCATGGAGTTTATTGGGCTTGGCTGCCCCTAGACATTCATGACCTAATGTGCCGGTTCCTAGCTCCCTGTCGGTGGGTCCTGGCTCTGGGACTTGCCATGGGTGACATCTCTGTCAGCCTGGGAGTTACAATGTTGGGAGGGACAGCGTGAGATCCCTATCCATTTGCTTGTTCTGATTTCCTCTGTCAGCAGGACTCCAGGGTCTGGCTGCACCAGACCCTGACAGAACATCTCACGTGACTTGTTCCCTTGTTGTTGTAGGGTCTTCAGGGCTATGGTCCTAATGGAGGTGGTAGGAAGAATCTGTTTCTGTGTCTTTTCCAGTTTCTCAAGGTCCCCTGCAGTCCTGCCCCATCTCCAGAGCCAGCAGCACAGACTTTTCTCTCCCCTCTGTCTCCTGCCTCCCTCCAGTGATTACATCCAGTTCCCCTGCAAAAGCCAGGAAATCTCCCCTCTCGAGATCTTGACCTTAATCACATATACAAAAGTTCTTCCTTTTGCCATAGAGGTGACATTTTCAGGGCTCCAGGGATTAGGTTCTATCCACCCCATCCATCCTGGCCAGCGACAATAGCGCCATTAGCTAGCAAGAAGAATTTCGTTTTTCTTTCTCCTTCGCTCCCTTCTTCTCTACAGACACAGACACACAGACACAGACACACACACACACACACACACACACCCTGAGGGGAGACCCTGGTCCTCTCACCCTCTTTTCTTTCTTTCTTCTTCTAAATTTTAGATTTGAATTTTTTTGAGTAGGTGACACTTGGTAGGTCTCTGGACTCTAGATGCCTCCAATTCAGGCATCTCTGCTTCATCCCTTTAGGTTCTCCTCGCTCAAAAACCAAAGAAACAAGACACAAATAAAACAACAAAAACCCCAATAACAATGCGACTGCCCCATCTGCTCTCATCCACTTCCTTTCCCCATCATCTACATGGAGATCATGTAGCTATAGCCGCTTGCTTTTTTGCACAAAAGTTAGCATAAAGTACATATTATTCCATGTCTATTTTCTTTTCTGACTTCCTGCATCCTGAGGGTTTCTTCCTACCACTGCATAGAATGTCCTTGTTCGTACGTTTCCTTACCTTCCTTGGCATCACAGTATGGCTGTACTCTAGTTTATCTTCCCTGCAGATGGAAAACCAGTTGTTTCCAGACTTCTGTTGTTACAGTCAACACTACAACGAGTCACCCTGCACAGGTTTCTCCCTTGTTTATAGGTAGATCTTGGGGTAAACCCCTAGGTGCTGGACCACTGTGCTGAAGAGTAAAGGTGTGGGTAATTTTGTTGGATTTTTCCATCGTTTCTTCCTTATGGTGGTGCCATTTTGAATGCTCACCACTGAGGTGAGAGAATTCCTCAAGAGGGAGCTGACAGCTTCAGATTAAAAAAAAATCATCTGATAGATAAATCTGGCATCTCAGTGGGCTTCCTTGGCACTAGTCATAGAGGTCTTGTTGGGATACAGTAGGCTAACAGAATGGAGCCCATTGCCACATGCTCCATGTGTGTGGCTGCACCCGCCCTGGCCTTCCTGGAGAAGCAGCACATGGGACTGGGAGCTGAAGGGTTTATTGTACGGGGGGGCTCTGGGGCTTTCAGGTAGGAACTGGGCCAGGCTTCTCACACAGGCTTGTAGGTCCCATTGTAGCTGAAAGGGGGAGGCTTCAAGCAGTCTCTGTCCTCAGGGATCCATTGCTGAATGTAGTTGGAACCCTTGTCATGAGGCCACACGATCACGGTGTCTCTGGATGCCAAGGAGGGGTCCTCTGGGAAGAAGTTGAACGGCCGGAGCAAGAAACCCACAGAATTCCCAGGTGTGGCTGTGTTGGGGATGTCTTCTGAGTGGGGAATGTGCAGGAAGCCCACTGTCACCCAGGCCACCAAGTCCTATGGGAGAGAAGTTGGCATTAGTGGGCAGGACGGTACTGAGTGGTGACTGCTGGAGGCCACACTGGCTTAGGGCGTTTTCAGTTGCACCCGTCAATTTCTGAGATCCCCTGGAGCCCCATTTTAAAGAGATGGACAGGTTTTTCATGACCTCTGAACTTGCCCTCCACACAGTCAGCCACATTCCAGGGACCCGGACAAGTCTGGGTAGAGGCTGGTTAAGACTCTGCTGGTGATGAGGCCAGAGGCAGGCAGGGATGGGGACTAGGTCAGTACCTCATTTTCAAGGCTCTCATTGTTCTGAAGAAATTCCTCAAAGACTACAGGGGGGTCCCAGGGGTCATTCTGGTTGTAAATGCTGCTGCTGCTCCTCTCCGCCTCATGGTACTTGGTCACTGCCAGGGGGTACCTGCAGGCCGAAAAGAAGCCAAGTGGCTCTGGCAGCTGGGGTGGCCTCCCAGACCCCCCTGGGAACATCCTCAGGGCTGACGATGGGGACAGCTGCTGCTTCCAGAAGAAAGGATTGTCTCCTGAGAGTCTGCAAGAGTGCCCAATGCCAGAAGTCCTGCAAGCAACCTCCACTTCCTCCCCGAACGCATGGACACATCTCCCAGACACAGAGCCTCATGGACAGAAGCACAGACAGATACAGACACTGAGGAGAGCCCCTCACCCTCCCCATCCTCCCCTGGTCTCCTCACCTGGCCCAGGTGATGGCCCGCTCCTCCTGCCAGTCCAGAGGCAGCACCTGATCAGCCATGGAGTGGATCTGCAGGCGGTAGCTGCGCCTATGACCCCAGGGGTTCTTTTTGGGGCTGGTAAAGAGCAGGTACTTGGGCAGGGTCCATCCGAAGCGGAAGGCGGCTTGGCGTTCCCGCAGGTACCGCCTCTGTCTTAGAGTTGGCTGCACAAGCTGGTGTCCTGGGCTCCAGGGGTTGGTGATGTTTTCCAGCTTCATCCTCAGTGTATGGAAGCTGTTCTTGGTGCCTGGAGGCACGAAGTGGGAGGGAGGATGAGAATGGCTCTGGGAACTGACACCTCGTCTCTCTCCGGCAGAATCTCCTCATAAACCACAGCCAACCCAGGAAGAGGGTGTGCTGGGGGCATGCACTGGGCTAGCTACACAAGGGACGGAAGGATTAAGAACACAACCCAGAGGGCCTGGAAGACAGCTCATGGGTCAGTCACGGCAACTGTGGCAGTTCCAGTGTGACTGTGGATAGGTCTCTCCAGAGCTGTGTTCAAGCCTGTTTGCTGTGGTTTTAACCGTAGAGAAGCAGCAGCCCATCTTTCCCTGGGTGTAAGAGACTGCCCAGCGTGCTCTGGGCTAGAGAACCAAGTGGGGCTGAGTGGGTGGTCCTGGAGGCCTTGTCCTGTTTTGGGACTTGGATGTCGGCATTACACCCACGCCACTCTCCCATGGTGGTATGCATCCAGGGGACACACTGAGTATCCCCTGCTAGCACCATTCTCAAAGTGTTAGGCAGTAACCTTCTTACCCTTCCTGACCCATGTGCACCTTTCTACTCAGCCCCAGGGTAGGGTCAAGTGCACACCATGGCATTCTGGGTAACCCTTGGGCACTATTCACTTAAATCATTTTTCGGGGTCACATAAATCTCTAGTTTCATCTTTTGCAGAAGCAGGCTGAGCAAACACTCCTGGGTTTATTTCAGGGAGCTTTAGGGCCACCCCCTGTGGAGTGTAGTCATTGGTTGAGTGCAGATGTCTGACAGGGTGGGAAGTGGGGGTGGGGGGTGGGGGTAGGGAGTGGTGTCTGGTCCCACCTGCCACATCCAGGTCCACGCGGTAATGCACCAGATGGGTGTGCATGTTGCCCAGCAGGTGTTTGTGCAGGCGAGTACCGTAGCGCAGCCCCTCGGGGGTGTAGAAGGTGGCGTGGATGTAGCCGGTGGCGTGCATCTTGACCTCCATCACACCGTTAGGGTGGAAGATGAAGTCCCAGATGTAATCGTAATTGTAGACTGTTGAAGTCGTCCGAAGCACCAGAATGTGTCCTTTCAGCCCCGCATAAAAGTTGAAACCACCATTAAAGTCAGAATTAAAGTGTCGCCGGAGGGGCACTCCTGTGGGCATCTCAAAGAGGCAGAGGGCCCGCGGATAGCGGACGGGGTCATCCTCATCGTAGTAGTGGAAGGTGTCCAGGAAGGTGGCGCTCTCTGGACAGTCAATGCCAGGGGCTAACTCATGGGTAACGCTGCCTAAGCCCCAGCCCACATCGACGTACTTGGTCTGCATGCCTGCCGGCGTGTGTCCTCCATACAGTGCCAAGGCCTCTTGCACGCTGACCTCGTAGGCGATGCGCTCACCCCCGAAGTGCACATTCAGGACCTGCAGCCCAGAAGAGGAGCGCAATCTGAAGGCAAAGCTCCAGCCTCCATACAGCACTGCGTTGCCCTCCAGCCTGTAGCGGGGGCCGTGGGGCTGGACCACGCGGGGACCACCTACGCTGATGGGGGTGGGGAAGTCCCCACGGGGCTTGTAGGAGGAGAAGAGAGGTAGCTCTTCTGTGCTCTCGTTCCCATGGCCCGTGGGCAGTGGGCTCTCCAGGACCACTGTGGCCACCTGTCCATCTGCATACTTCTGAGCCAGTTCCTCTGGGCTCTGGTAGAACTTTCCGTTGTACCAGACCTGCTCCACCGTCCAGTCCTGGGCGTTTGTGCTCCCATGATCCACAAGGAGCTCTAGCCCAGTGGGGTGCAAGAAATAGCCTTCTACAAAGCGCTGTAAGATAAGCCAACTGCGGCGCTGGCCCGATGCCACGCCTCGGGGGGCCACATCGGTGAAGGTCAGGCATCGGCCCCCACAGTCTTGGAATGAGAAGCCTGTGGTATCAAGGAAAAACTGATGCAGGGGCTTGGTGGCCTTCTGCAGGGTGTGATGGAGGAGGCTGTACTCTGCAGCAGAGACCGGCCTGGATGCCCAGGACCGCTGGTGTCCTGGCCTGGGGGACAGCACTCGCATGTAGGAAGGCAGTGGCAAAGGCCCCACAGCAAACTCAGTGACATTGGGCTGCTTCTGGTCCCCAAAGAAGATGATGGCACGGGCTTCCCGGGTAGGACGTCTTTTCCCATTATCCAGAAATTTCAGCACCTGCTGCTTCTCTGGCAGCAGCATCTCGATGAGGAACACGCTGTTCTTGGCCATGGTTGGTACCGTGGAGCGCTGCAGCCCCAGCTCCTTCCTGGACCAGAGGAAGCTGTGCACAGCCTTGAGCTCCTGGGCGCTCAGATCTGCAAACACCCCGGCCTTGCCCTGCAGAGTCCAAGGGGGGCGCTCTGCCACCACCGCAGGTAGCAGCAGGATGGCAGCCACTGCCCAGCCCAGGGCCAGGCTGTCTCGCCGCATTGCTCTGGAATGCAGCAGAGGAGAGGGACTCAGTAATTTCCCTCAGACTAGCAATTTCCTTTAGCCTCTGGTTTTCCTACAGACTGAGCTTCCTCTCCTTGCAGACAGTTGAGGTTCCCAGTATGGCCTAGGCCCCTGTCTATGCGTCCATCAGTTTCCTCCCTGCTTTTATTGTCTGTGGACTTTCTCACTAGCTACACAACCTAAGGCTCTGAGCTCTGAAGCCTGCAAAGTGCTTCTATCTTGGTGACACAGAACTGTATTAATAGCAAAACTTCCTTTTTGATGCAACAAAATACTTTTTAGAAGACAATTTTTTTTTTTTTTTTGGTACTAGGGTTTGAGTTTATGGTCTTGCACTTTTAGGAAGGCACTTGACCACTTGCTAGCCCTTGTTGCTTTTTCTTTCTTTCTTTATTTTTGAAATAAGTTCTCTCTTTTGGACCAAGGCTGGCCTGGATTGTGCACCTGCTATTTTATGCTTCCAGCATAGCTGGGATTACATGTGTGCCACTGTACTCAGCTATTGGTTGAGATGGGGGTCTCATGAAGGTTTTTTTTTTCTCCCAAGTAGCTAGGATTATAGGCTTGAGCCATGGTGCCCAGCTTTGTATTGCTATTTTTTTTCTTTTTTTCTTGTATTCTTCTTTTGTTTTGCATTGGTAATTTTTTTTCAGTACTGAGGTTTGAACTCAGGGCCTTATGCTTGCTAGGCAGGTGCATTGGTAATTTTTGAGAGAGGGACTTGCTTTATGTTGGGGCTGGCCTGGACTGACATCTTCCATTTGTCCTTCCCCATATAGCTGACAGGCGTGGGCCACCAAGTCCAGCCAATGGTTGTGATGTGTATCTCCCAAACTTTCCCTGCCCCCACCCCCCTCCCAGGCTGGCCTGGAATGGCGATCCTCCTGATCTCTGCCTCTGGAGTAGTTAGGATTACAGGCTTGAGCCATCTGCATAGCTGCTTTAGTTATCATTTACATAGGGTCTCAGGGGTTCCTCTGGGGTCAGTCTTGGACTTTGATCCTCCTACTTGGCCCTTGGAATAGCTGGGATTACAGGTGGGGACCACTGTGCCTAGTCAATCGGGAGACAAATTTTGAAGTTTTTTGTCGATGTACCAAGGGTGAAGCTGTATGAGTTTGAGTCCTGGTAAACTGCACTCCTAGGACTAGCTGTATGACTTTGGGCACATTGCCTAAACTCTCTGGGTCTCCATTTTCTCAACTGCAAAATAGAAATAATAGTAGCACCTTCCTTTCTAGGGTTATTGAGAGAAACCAACTGCACAGTAAGTATAAAGTTATAGCAAGTACTTATAGTCAGTGCTAAGAGCACTGACTTGTTACTTAGGCCTACAAATGTCCAAAGAGCAACTAAAAGCAAGATAAAGAACTTGACACCGCCGTCTTCATTTTGTATCTGTCTTTGGTCTGAGCTGTTTTCTCTGCAGTCACTCTGCAATTACCTTGGAATCCAGGCAGGACAGGACCGATCGACTGTCTGTGACAAGAGTTGAAACTGCCCCTAGACAACAACGACTTTCTTATTTTGTCCAGATTGCTCTGCGATAACCACTTCTCCAGAGCTTGTTGGTAATGGTCAACCAGTCCACGCTCTGCCTGGAACTGTTTAATAATTCTGTACATCCCTCACCTCCTCCCAGCTCCTCCTGTGTTTAAACTAACGCTCACTTCTGTACTGGGAAGATGGCTGAAGTGCTTACTGTGCCTCTTCCTGTGGAGCGTCTGTGCTGTATGGTAAATCTCCTTTCTCTGCCTACACCAGTACTCATCTCCTTATTCAGTGTATTGGGGCGAGTGGCCAGACAGGACACGTGGAACCCCTGGAGTTGGGGCTCTGGCTTAGAACTCTGGTTACAAAGTGTTTGGAACCGTGTTGGACTTGTAGGAAGCATGCATGAATTGTTAGTTACTCTTCTCTTTAATTTGAGCCCTGATGACACAGTTTGTGAACCCCAGCACATCAAAGGCTTTAAGCACTGCAAAGTGATTTCAGTGAGTTTAGACTTTGGGGTGAGGATGAGGGGGCCAGCTCTGCCCAGCCTTCTTTGCCTCCCTAGAGAAGGAGGCACTAATGTCATGGTCTCTTGACCATCCAAGGCTATAGGATTGTACCTGGGAGAGATCAGCTCAGGTAGGGAATCAGGGAGAGGCCCTTTCCCCCTTCCTTTTGGAGGAGGGCATGGTCAAGGTCAGCTTTCTGATCCTGACCCCAAGCTACCAGTAAAATCCTGTAAGCTATCCTGTGCACATAGCTTGGAGTGGAGCCTCTGCTGTGCAGGGAGACATACGTGACCAACTCTCTATTCCTTTGCACCTGGGGTGGGACCACCTGCTAGGCCCTGCTATGTGTGGAGTCCCTGGATCTGGCCCAGCCTGCTGGCTGCTACAGCCATAGCTGTCACTATTGCCCAGCCCTGGTTTTTCTAGACCCTAAATCATTATAGAGGCTGCTGGGCCCTTTTGGGACTGCACACTTACCATTTTGTTTCTCTATAGAAGAGCTGCCTGCACCACATGTCATGACTTCCTGAAGGCTCCAGCTGACCTTGGAGTCCACCCAAGGATTCCTTGGGGTCTTTGACTTCAATGTCTAGATCCAGATGCCTATTTACAGCATGGGCATGTGAACGGATAGAGACTCTGAGAGGTTCTGGCTCTCGGGTAATTGCTCTCTGTGTTTCCCAGATTGGAATCGCTGGGGATAAATCTGGAGAGAACACTTTGTCCTGTGCAGAGGGAGGCACAGAGAGGGTCTCAGTCTCTCCCAGACTCCTTCAGGGGGCTAGGGTGCTGCTAGCACGGGGTGTAGGGGCTGGGACTTGAGTGCATTTCACCTAAGAACTTACTTGCATGAAATGAGACACTTCATCAGTACCAGGTGGAGGAACTGGGAGAGAGAGCCTGAACATGGTGCACGGCTTTATCTTCTGCTTTTCAGAAAACGCACTTCATACATCACATACTGGATTCATAAATGTCAGGAACACAGCCTATTTGTTCAGTAGCAGCTCACGTTTCCTCGTGAATTCTTCCCTCTATAGATGCTCAACATCATGGTGTCCCTCCCCTCCCCACTCTGCTCGCCTCTTTCTGCCAAGTTCATATCCTGCACTTCTGTTCCCCGCCAAGGAACTTTCTGTCTCGGGCCTAACTTAAATTCACTTCTTCACTCGTCCCCTCAGCACTTACACTAATGAGCGTTTCTTGAGTTATAGATTGGTGAAAGATGTTTGCTGGGACCGCTCCATCACCTGATGAGCTTGTGGGCCTCACCTCTTCTTTCCTTGGGTCTCCTGGCCCTGCTGATCACAGTCAAGGCTGATCACTAGAGTTAGAACCATGGTGGGGACTTCCCTCTGGTGGCCCTGTCTTGTCCCTCTGGCGCTAATGGCCTTGTGCTTTCAGGGCCCAGCGTGAAAGGAGTAGGTAAGACAGGAGTTCTGGGTGAATCAAGAACCAGCAAGAGGATGTGAACTGATCTTTTGTTCTACTGCTACATTTTGACCAGGCCTCCTTCTTTATTTTTACTTTTTTAAATGTACTTTTTTTTTTTTTTTGGTGGCACTATAGTTAGAACTCAGGGCCTCTCACACTTGGTAGGAAGGTGCTCTACCACTTGAGCCACTCCTCCAGCTCCATATACTTCATTTTTAAAAGGGGAACTATAGGGGGAGGGGAGAATCAGAGGAAGAGGGTAGCGGGGGGCTGAAGAAGATCAAAGTACTATACGTACATATATAAAGAAAGCATAATAAAGTCTACCAAACACTGTTTGAAAAAGGTGGGGAGGAGGAGACAGCTTAAGAGACTATAATAGAGGGGTGAATTTGTTCAAAGTACACCAAATCCATCTATGGAAATATCATGGTGAATCCCCCTTGTACTACTAATGTATGACAATAAAAGTAGCAAAAATCTATTCATTTAAAGAGCAGTTTCACAGTGAAATGGAGCAGAGGGTACAGTGAGCTCCTACACAGCCCCTGCCCCTCTGGCGGCCCCCGCCCACTGTCAGCGACTCCAGCATTGTCCATGCTACAACAGATGCACTGTTATCAACCAGAGTCCAGAGTTGACATCAGGGCTCACTCCTGGGTTTATTCAGTGGATTTTGACAAAAGTATATGACATCTACCATTCCAGTATCTCACACTGTTCTCAGCTCTAAAAATCCTCTGCATTCTGCCTGGTCCTCCCGCCTCCCCTTCAAGGTCTGCCTACCCCTGATCTTTTACTGTCTGTACTGCTCGCCTTTTCCAGAGGCATTTGGTTGGACTCCTACAGCACACAGCCTTGCAGATGGCTCCTTTTATTAGTGGTTTGCATCTAGGGTGCCAGTCTTTCATGGCTGGGCCTTCTTTTTTTGAGGGGTGGCTCATTTTATCCCTAAGTATCTTTCTGTCTTGCCAAGGAGAGAGACATGGCAGAGATGTTTACTTTCCCCAGTAGAACTCTCTGTTAGGACATCCAGTGGACAGTGAGGAGTGGGGGTTGGACAATGGCAATAAGGCTGTAAAGGACAAGGGAGAACTTGGCAGCTAGCAAGCCCTCTAAGCTGCAAACGGGAAGCGTACCCACTGCTCCCTTACCCACCTCCTCGCTGCATTCCTCTCTTACCCAGGAGCACCCCAGAGCCTTCAGCAAGTCACTCTGGCTCTTGTACTTTTAGCCCTCCTCCCTCTGTATCTGCATTTCTCCTGCACCTCACTCCACACCTGTCCCCTTGCTCTCCCCTCTTCCCAGTCAGTCCCTTCTTGTGTCCCATTTGAACGCACCTGTGTGCTCTGCTCCTGCGTCTCTGCTGCCAGCCTCTGATTCTAGGCGCTGACCCCTGACTCCTTCTTGAAGTCTACTGGACCCCGCCCTGTAAGGGAGGGACAGGGTGAGGTATGTGCTGACCAAGGTGGAGACCTATAGTTCAGGGGGTTCCCCGGTGGAGTGGAGGCTGTCCTTGGGCTGCTTTCCTATGGTTTCTCCTGTCACAGC